CTTGAGGTGAAGTTCTTAACAATGTAGCCTCTTATACAGTGCACTGTGGCTTAGCTCCACTACCATGGGAAGGCACACACACACACACACACGTTTGTTTTACTATCCTTGTGGGGACCAAACAATTGATTCCCATTCGAAAACCTATTTTCTCTAACCCCTAACCCTAAACCTAACCCTAACTTAACCCCAAACCCTAACCCTAAACATAACCCTAACTCCTAACTCTAAACCTAACCCTAACTCTTAAACCTCTAACCCTAATTGTAACCTTAACCCTAATTGTAACCCTAACCCTAAACCTAACCCCTAAGCCTAAAATAGCCTTTTTCCTTGTGGGGACCGGCAAAATGTCCCCACTTATCCAAGTTTTCGTTTTTTTACTATCCTTGTGAGGACTTCCGGTCCCCACAAGGATAGTAAAACCAAAAACACACACGCACACACACAATGGAATAAAAGACTATATAAGAATAAGTATTATCATTTCTCCCAGTCATTCTGGAAAATCCATTTCCATATTTGTTTCTCCTCTTGACTGTGTGGACAAACGCGGGCCTGTTTGATGTGTTCAGAGCTGCAGCACAGATGCCACAGTTTCAGCTATGCTGGACGTCATCTCACTGACGCTTTTCGGAAAACAGAAAAAACACCATGTGCAGTGCACAACCTCCAAAATTAGCGTGCGGCACATGAAGAAAAAAAGACAAAAAGAAGAAGAAAGAAAGACTCACAAGTGACCGCCGTTCCTCCCAGCATCTCTGCATTTTAGCGCCCCACCCTGCCTGGCGAGAGGCCGGGCCGAGATCTCCCATAGCGACAGACGGAGCACTTCGCTTCATCAAAGGTACACGGCACTCCGCACACTTTCCAAATACAGTACTGCCAGAAATCTGGAAATCTGATTTCAGAACCCTTATGATTTTGGTTGTCTGAGCTGCAGATACTTTTGGTGTGGTTTGCACACAGCTAAATGAATGCGCCTGCCACGCCAGTTAGAGTCCCTCTCTCTCCCTCTCTCTCAATGTTATTCTCATCAGTTCTGCAGCCGTTCTGTTGCATGTAAACAGAAAGAGAGAAGCACACCTTTAACTTATTTACCAGATGCTCAGAAAGGGAAGAAAATAACCAGCTTTGAGTTTGGAGAGGGATTTTGTTTGAGGCCTGTGTAGTAGGTGAAGGAGGACCACTTTAAACCAAGCATATCTCATACTTCTTCTGTTGTTTTTAGCTAAACCATAATACATGGGCATAATAGAACCTACACACATAGCCTTATCTAACAGTGTGAAGTGCTCACGGTAGTCTGCCCAAATAGAGCTGAGGGGGTTCACTCTGTATTGTCACAAACAGCTTATGGCAATGTGACAAGTCTGCTAGTCAGAGCTGTGGTAGAAGTGAGTCATAGTAGATCATTACTGTGACCTCTAACCTTGGTCCCCTAGGAGGAGAGGAAGGGGAGGAGGTGGGGGTGGGGGGGTTGTTTCTCAGAGACGTTGAGTGAGAAGTTTAGAAGTGGTCCCGGGGGGGGGGGCTCATATAAACCTGGCCCTAAAGCGAGCCCCTGGGGTGTGAGAAACACTGGCTGACACAGAGTACCAGAACCAAGTGGAGTTGGATCAGGGGGGCAAGGGGGGCAACATTCAGGAGTACGCCCCACGTGTCCCCCACCCTGGGAACACTATTTTCCCCCAATCCAATGAAAGGTTTATAGACTGTAGCTATAAAGGCAAACCACTAAATCTAACACTGTTTTAACACAGGCATTTTCTTCCAACCCTCTCTCCCCCTCTTCTGACCTAAAAGTGTTGGCAGTTCAGTTTTTTTGGGGGGTGGGGGTGTAAAGTTTTACTGTTGAACATTTAGTTGATTTTCATCAAATTTTCATTAACTTTTTCAGCGAAGTGACTTCCTCCTGAAGTCCATTAAAATGGTGCACTGTGGCAAGGTAGAGAGGGAGGCAGAGAGGGAGGGGAGAGGGAGGCGGGGAGGCGGGGAGGCAGGCAGAAAGGCACGCAGAAAGGCACGCAGACAGGCAGGCAGACAGGCAGACAGGCAGACAGGCAGAAAGGCAGGCACGCAGACAGGCAGTCAGGCAGAAAGGCAGGCAGGCAGACAGGCAGAAAGGCAGGCAGGCAGACAGGCAGAAAGGCAGGCAGGCAGACAGGCAGAAAGGCAGGCAGGCAGGCATACAGGTGGTGCTACTGGCAGGGCTATAGGGGACCATGTGCTGAGCTGAGTTCTGTGGTTGGGGTCTACACTACAGAAATGGACACCAGATGGGAACTCTTGGGGGAACGGATGCAAGGTAAAATAAAATAATGTGTAGGCCAGGGGATTGAAACTGATGTGTGGACCGGAACTGCTCTGGCACAAAATGGCTGCTTGTTGCTTCACCCAGGTGGGTACTGGGTAAGATTAGGTATTAGGTAATACTAATACATGTAATCGTTTATCTTGAATATTTGTGTTGTGCTCTATTTTACTTGTTTTATATTGTATTAGATTTTTGTTTTTGTCTCATGAAATTGTATATGCATGACTCCTTTGTGAAAGAGAGCCTGGTCTCAATGGTGACTCCCTGCTTAAATAAAGGTTTTTAAAAAACATCTGTCTGTTGCACAATAACTTCTCAATATACACAATGGCAAAACATCAGAGAATGAGTGAAAGTTGTTATCTTAAGACATTTCACCATTATACTGTCAGCCGTTTGGAAATGTAACTCCTATACTATTAAATTATAGATGAACTTGAGTTGAAATCATATATTTGCTAAAATTGATTGTTCCCCCCCAAGAAAAAGTTGAAGCCTACCAGAAAAGTCTTTGCTGATTGAAAAAACAACCATGTTGGGTTGCTCTCTGCAAGCGAGTGCATGCATGTGTCTGAGTTCCAATGTGTGCTCGTATAAAAAACATTATATTTAGAGCTTCTTGAGCTGCCTTGTGTTCCGTTCCAAACTCTGTCTAATGCAAACACAGCAGAAAACAGTCTGTCAAACTCCACAACCTTTCCTCTCTCTCTCTCTCTCGTTCTCTCTCCCTCTCTCTTTTTCTCACTCTCTCATTATCTACCCCGTCAGTGTGGCTACAGTACGTATTTCATCTGTCTCTTTTAGGACTATTCCGAGTCACTCCATTTAGCCTTAGTGATTGCATTACTTCTCTGAGAACAATAGAAGTATTAAGATATGAATTCTAACCTTTATGCCTGTGCTCTGTCTTGGAAATGTGATATGTTTTGTTTTTGCCATCCCATCCTGCCATTATCTGTCCCTATGAATAAAATATGAGCAATAATACCCTGTTGTTTGTCACTTAGAGAGTTTGTGTTAGTGTTCATTCATTCTAAAGCCCCATTCATACCTGGTGCTAACATGGGTCCTTTGTCCTGATCTTGTCTACATTTCTATTGTGCCCACATTTCCAGAAATGTGTCTACACATGGTATTAAACTGTGTCTGTTATCTGTCCACTGTGTCTGCATTGTGGCCAGATTTCCTGGTCCCTTCCTTTATGCTAATTATTTCACAGCTTTTCTTTCAAAATCATATTTATTTATTGTAAGACACATATTGATGTAATCAGTCAATGGTGCCACCTGTCAATGACTTTAGAGGGTGGAATAATTATGATTTAAATAGTTTCACTGTCCAGATCTGTCTACATTTGTAAGATATCCAGATGTGTCTGACTACCTCTGATCACAATCAAATCACAATGTGTTTTTTGATTGTCTAAAAATGTGGGCACAATCAGAATGCGGACAAGATCAGGACGCAAGTTAGAACCAGGTATAACGGAGCTTAACAGAACTATTCCCAATGGTGCCAAAACCACAACAGAAGAAGACTATGAGTCAGAGGCAGCCAAAAGAGACGTAGCAGGAGAATGTGCCTGAGCATGTGCATATGGAGCAGGTACACCTGTGTGCGTGTGTGTGTGTGTGTGTTTGTTTGTCTTTATTAATTAAAGCAGCTGTAGACCTTGTGTCTTGCTGAGGGCCCATTGGTGTGTCTGGCTGATGGCTCGCAGCCTGTCATGTCTCAAATCGCACAGTAAACAAACTCACAGCACAGCACAGACACTCTTCAAATCCCTCACACACTGACACACAACTCAGACTGTTTGTTTTCGTTCTCTCTCTCCCTACTTCCCCCCTCTCTCTCTCTCTCTTTCTCTCTTTTAAGTTAAGAAAATGAAGTATTCCCAGGGGTTAACTTTTACCTCTGCCTTCCTTCCCAGGGATCTGTGCAATGCCATGTAGGCCTACAGGAGGAAAACATCTCGCTGTGTTTTCCTAGACCTCCCCAGAGACCTTATAACATCTGTAGAGATGTAACTGCCTTGGACCCTGTTGTGATTCTGTACCCCACTGCAGACCATTACACCACTTACACTGACCCATTCAAAACACACCACCAGGCTCCAGTTACTGTACATTTATCACAGGAGGTGTAAATGCTTCATCTTGGCATTCACTATTAGAGCATTAGCTTTTAACCTTGTCTTCTTTGGGGTTTTTTGCGGCTAATTTATGTGGGAGAGGTTCTGCTACTTTTTGACCCCTTGACATCCTTAGTGTGATTTGAATGCTTTTAAACACACACTGGGAAGTCAGCTGGACAAGTGTGGACAATTGGAGCAACCAAAGTGTTTTCTCACGATAAATACACATTATTTATTTACAAATAAAGTGGTTATAATAGAAATAAATACAAATAAAAATCTGAGCATTGTACTTCATGTGGTATTGCACCCATTTTGAAATGTACATCAGAAATACATTTTCAAAACCAGTAAAGGATTATTCCTCTGATTAAAATATTTATTTTTCCCAACTTTAAGTAGACATAAATATATTCATATATAGTTGTTTTTTAATCTTCTTCGAAAATAGCTCTGTTTGTATCTTTTCTGTCATATAAATAAAACGTCTTCATTGGGAAACCGGGTGCCCATATAACCTCACACTCTCTCTCTTTCTCAGTCTCTCCATCCCTCCATCCTTCTGTCTCTGTGTGTCTCACCGGCAGCCACATCCCTCCACCACCATATCCTGGTAGTTTTTGAGGATGACCTTCTCATACTCATCCAGATAGAGCAGTGATATGGGGCTGAGCTCTGTGGGCACGCAGCACGCCCGGGGGATGTTGGAGTTCACAGAGTTGACAAGCGTCTGAACGATGGCATGGTTGGTGGAGTTGAGGTGGTCGGCCAATGGGAAGGGGCACTCCCCATGGCAGTAGAAGGCGTGGTAGCCTGGGGGCGCCACTATCCACTCGTTCCAGCCCACGTCGCTGAAGTCCACGTAGAGGGCATGTCTGCGGCAGTTGACCTTGTGTTGGTGCTTCTTCCTCTGTTTCCTGTGGCCTGCTGCCTGTCTCTTGTCCCTGTGCAGCACTGCATTCCCCCGCCCATCATGACTGTAGGTCACCAGCAGGGGGCGAGCCTGGGGCCATGAGTCCTGGTCCTCGTGGAGGGAGCGGCTCACCCTGACGTGCCGGCTCCGTCCTTGGCCCTCCGCGCCCCCCAGGGTGTCTGGGTGGAGCACCTCCACCAGGAAGCCGTGGTTGTGGCGCACCCTGGAGGCCCACTGGGACACTGCGGGGCTGACGTCAAAGCTCTCCCAGCGGCTCAGAGAGTCCTGCACCAGCCGCGTGTCCAGGAGGCGCATCAAGGGTTCCCCACGGGGAGACGCAGGGGCTCCAAACACCTCGTACACGTTGATACGATGGAAGCCACCAGCACTGGTACTGAAGCTGTTACTGCTGTTGTAACTGGTGTTACTGGTGGGAGCTGCTGTGGCCCCCAGGACCTGGTCCCTGTACACCCGGAGCTCTGCAGAGGTGATAAGCTCTTCTCCAGGGATGGAGGTGAGGTTGAAGAAGAACTGCTGGGTGGTCCTGCCCTTCAGACTGGCCAGAGCCTCCATGGACTCTATAAGAGAGAAGGATAAGGAGAGAGCTAGGGTCAGTGGATGATGTTGACATAGACATTCATGGCTAAGATCAGGACATTGTTTTTTTACTACGAAGGTTGTGTTGGTGGTAGAGTAACTCCATGGAGAAAGTTACTGGGAGTGGAGGACAGCCACTAATGGCAGATACAGTGCTTACACGGAGAGCATGCTGCAATGTGAAAAATGTAGAGGCAAACATGTATGGATTTATAGATTCTACAGGAGCAGGGAAGAAGATTGACCAAGGTTTACTGTCCTGACAAACGGGTATTCTTTCCACAGCTCACTACAACACACAGACACACACACACCCAGACACGCACACACACAAGAAACATGAGACAAGCATCCCTCCCTCCCAGTCCTACATGACTAGATTCATTGTTGTCATACATGTCATCATACACACACTCACTAACTCCAATGTAAAGGCAAAAGCTAACAATTATTTATTTATTTTATTTAACCTATATTTAACTAGGCAAGTCAGTTATGAACAAATTCTTATTTACAATGACGCACCGCCCTATGGGACTCCCAATCCCGGCTGGATTGTGATACAGCCTGGAATCGAACCAGGGTCTGTAGTGATGCCTCTAGCACTGAGATGCAGTGCCTTAGACCACTGCACTTGGGGACCATCCAACTGCAATACGGCCAGGTTCATAAATGTAATCAGAGTAAATGTCATGACATCAAAGCAGTGGCGTTCCAATGTTGATATGATCAAGCAAAGATCAGTGATAGCATCTAACCATTATGCATGCGAGGCCACTAAATGCCATGGAGAATGTTCTGCCCTTTAGGATTTGGCTGCTACATGATGGAGTGCTGTTATTATTGAATGTGTGGAAAAAGGAATTGTCGTCCATCATGGAATCATCAAAGCTAGATTATTATGACACAATGATGACCATAGGGAAGTATATCTAATTTATCTGTATGTCTAATTTATCTTAATGTTGTTTACACCTTTTTTGAAGCAGTCTATAGCTACACATTTTATTCCTCTGTGCATATTTGGCCTGATTGAGAATGAATTATTAACATTAGTGTTTAAAACAAATTTCAGATACATATGTCAATGACAGCACTAATATTTTCTTGATTGTAGTCAAACTTTGAACATTTACCTTTAAGTGTTTTACAGATGGCACAAAGACATGCTTGTTATCTGTTTGGAGTGGTAAAATAAACACTAACTTTTTCAAAGGAGGCATTTAGGAAATTCCACCCCCTCATCCTAAATCTCTCTCCAGAAGCACAAAGACCTCAATTAGACCCATCAATCCTTATTGATGTGGGAAAACCCCTTCTCTCTACTTCTCTCCTTCAAACCCCTTCTTTCCTTCTCTCTTTCGCCCACTCACTCCAAAATCCCTCTCTCCCCTTCACCCTCTCTCTATCTCTCTCCTCACCCCAAATCCCCCCTCGCTCTCTCTTTCGCTCCAAATCTTTCTCTCTTTTCCCTCTGTCTCTCTCTCTCTGTCTATCCAGATTCCTGCTGTGTGAGTGAAGGAGGTGCTGCATGCGCTGTGTGAACAACATGTTGGGCCTTGTCTAAGAGTTGTGAACCACAGATATGAGTGTATCAAGACTCCTAATTTCTTGACTCTCTGTGTGCCAAAACAAAAGATAACGGCTAATATTAGGTCATTCATCTCTGCCTGTCTCTGGCAGCCAGTTACTGTGTTAGGCCTGGAAATGTTCTGTTTGGCAAAAAAATAGTTATTTTTTAAAACTGATATCACAGAAATGAATTATCCCTCTGAAATTAATATCACGGAACAGATGTGAAGAATGGATAGGGCTTCAGGCTTTGACATTATGGTTTACATGTGTAGCTACACGTATATTAAACATATAGGACCCCCCACTCTTCCCACTTCTACCATAGGAACAGTCTATATATCCAAAACCATGCAGCGCTGGAGCACAGGATGAAAAGACAGGAGGATGCAAGGATAAATAACTAAACATGGCTTAAATGTATCCCAAAAGCGGAAGTTTACACTAGTGGAGTGAGTGGTCTTAATCCCAGTCACCATGCCAGCCAGCCAGTGTGGTTTTTGTAGTGTGTCAGTGGTGTTTGTAGTGTTTCAGTGGTGTTTGTAGTGTCAGTGGTGTTTGTAGTGTCAGTGGTGTTTGTAGTGTGTCAATGTGTCCACTGGGTGTCATCCCTACCAGGCCTCAGGAGAGGAGAACACCCAACCAACCAACCCATCCTGACCCAACCACCCCAATGAGTCATTCACTGTGTGGAAACTTCCCCATGCAGTGAAACACTCAGGAGTCTGTGTAGAAGGCCATCCATGGACACATTGGGCATGTACTATACACTACTGGAGCATGAGGGGAAACGCTTTTTTAAAAGTTTCTATATTTGGTTTTCATGTTTCTATATTAACTGTTCTGGTCTGTTTTGTTGCAGCACTGTAAATGTAGTGCCCAGATGAGCTATTTGCCTAGACTAGAGGGTTAGACATCCACTGAACACATGCACACCTCTCTACCCACTGTTACTATACAACATAGTACAGATACATATGCACAGACAGATACAATACCAAATAAAAAAACATGGCCAGAGTTCACATCACCCAAAGAAAATGTCCATTTGTGCCTCCAGTTCAACTCTTGGATCAAATATCTCATATTTAGTTTAGCATTTAGACCAATTGGCCCTTACTGAAACAATAATCTGGTCTGCATGTGTTTCTGAGGTATATAAATGTGTCATTTTAATGTGAAATCTCGCAGTCAGCGACGCATATGTAGCTACATAATAAGTATGCACGACTAATTACGTGGTTCTATTATTTGAACGTCCATAATTGCGCATAAAGAACGCGCCTTGAGAGAGCGATTGGGAAAGGATAACGCGCACCCCCAAAACCAGGATGAGTAACGGACTGACTAGTCCTGTCTAAAAATGAGACGGAGCTATGTCTGCCACAGTGGCCTCTGTCATATTGCGTGTGTAGACAGTGTAGTGTAATGTCACGTCGTGTGTTATTGAAGTAGCAGCAGGGCGATGACTATCACTTGCGCACGCACACGCACACCGCCCTTTCTTTATCCCTCTCCTGTGGTGCGTGTCTGGAAAAACTGTTTTCAGGGCCCACGCAAACACCATCAATTATTAAGAAACAAATTACCCTTGTGATACCACTCACCACCCTTGATGTTTTGATGCTTGTTATAGCACAGTCAATGGAATGTTCCAGGTAACGTGTTACATCACCGCATATTTCAGGGATTAGGCTACTTTGCACTTCAAAGTCATCGAACCCTGACAATTAGTTTTACTCGTTACATTGTTAAATTACCCTTTGTTATTATAATATGATATACTTATAACGGGACGTGTCCCCTGACGCGTGTCACTCTGTTAGGATATGAGTGGGCCTGTCATAAAAAAGTGTAATTGCTTTGAAAATCCTCTTCACACTCTGAGTCATGTTTAAATACAGGTTTGACATGTCTGAGGGAGCAGAGATGCTCCACCTTGCCAGGTGAAATATGCCACTAATACGTACCTTCATGGTGAAAGCTTCTAATCGTGTTGGCCTTGCTGGCGGCTCTCTCTGCGTGCCTCCCCATGCTCCGGGGCAGTTTAGTGCTGTGGTCTCCGTTCACCGAGTGCATACGGTACAGGTCCACCATGTACTGAGGCACCACAGCCTGTCTGCTCGGGTTCGGCCTCCGCTTAAGTCCGAACATATTGAGGAGCCGCAGCTCGAACTCGTTGAGAAAGTTATCCGACTGCTCCGGGTTCTGCTTCCCGGACTCACTGTACTTCCTTCGGCCGACCTCGGGGATTAGTCCCGCAGCGCCTCCCAGCAGCACCTGAGCCAGCAGCAGTACCATGAGAGAACGAAACACGGCGACCATGGTCAGTCAGTCCCTGAGAGGAGAGGAGAGGAGAGGAGAGCAGTTTATGTCAATACACATACGCCGCGACACAACACACAGCCAGCTATCGACAGGAGAAACGTTGGAGGTTCACTGTAAAATTCCCCCCAGCTAAACTGCGATAAACTGTTTCTTCCATATAATAGCAATTTGTATCAAAGCAGGTTAAAAGAAAAGACACGTCACTTTGAAGTAAAGAACAGAAAGGTTGTGAATAACATCCCCACGGGCTGTGCCAAGTGAAATAGGCGATTGATCTTTTAACATTATAGAGGCAAAACTAAAACACCAGAATATCAAGGTGAGGAAGTTATGAAAGAGAATTGTCAAACAAAAAAAGTGGATGGTAGCCTACAGGAATGGAGAAAAACAAAGAACCTGGAGGAAGAAGGGAGAGAGAAAACAGCAGACAAAAAGTCTGCAATTACAGAAGAGATAAGAGGACGTGTTTGGTGGGGGTGTATAAAAGAAATACTACATAGCCCTTAGAACACACAAAGCATGACAGAATGTAGGCATCAAAAAGGTTCCAGTAGAGACAATCGTGGCAGCAGTCAGATAGCGCTACAAGCGTCTATTTGGTGAGGCTTTGACGGCCATGTATGACTATAATCATGCGGGATAGAGTTACTTCAAGGGGCTCGCAGGTGTGAGATCTAACGTGCGTATCCTGGCCATATGTACTCCACTGCGCAGACAAGACATCAAAAACACCTAGGCCTACATCAAAAGGACATATCCTTAAAATACTACCAGTATACATTTTTGTATGTACAGTATGTTTTGGAATTTATGTAACCCCCGCCAAAAAATGTTTCACAAAAAATTACAAAATGAAAAAAAGAAACATCTTGAATAAAATGTTGTTTTTTCTCGAGAGGGTTATTAGATCCAGAATACTCAGTGGATGGATAGTTTATGAGCGTTTCTAAACTGTCCCTAAATATAACAGTTGTCATTGACTTCAATAATGAATACTTCTAACTTTTTTTACCTGATAAGGAAGCGCTGTGTCCAGTCGTCCTTCCAGCTTTGGGCTCCAATAAATTCCACATTAATTCGTGTTTATTCCACGCTTTTCCTCTGCGGACGAAAGACAGTCCGTGCACTGCTCTGACCGATTTCTCTCGCACATATCTCCGAAGCTGGGAATCTGGAGACTTCTAGGTCAATAGAATAAAAAAATATTATACGTTCTATCTATGAGGAGGAAGCGGACTGGTGTAGGCAGGAGCGATCTAAGTATAAAGCAGCGCCGTTGAACATCTTCAAATGCGAATTTATAGATAACGTTTAGCAGAGACCGGGTGTAGAAGATCAGACTGTATAGTCTGTGGCTGTGGGTTTGGGAGCTTAACCTCTCTCTCCTGTGCGTGGCACACTGTAGCAGTCCAATTGATTGGTGCCTTCTCTTCCCCAAACGAGGCTTTTTGTCGTCCAGTGATGTCACCAACGCAGAGCTGTCAATCATGTCGATTCCAAAGCACCTCCTGTGCATTTTCAACCAGTCCTACTGCACCTACAGTAGCCTGCCCAAACTCGCGCTGCTACACAGACAAAATGCTCCTTTAAATGTGTTTTGGCTCTTACAAAATGACTCAAATATGAGACTTTCTTTAATAATAGGCCTTGACTTTTATTCGTTCGTGTGATCTAAAGTTGTTTATTTTGACAGCGTCAAAATATTTAACTTTAGGTTTTCTTTTCCTTTTTAGAAAATAGGCAACTCATCGTTCTGCATTCTTCTCCTGTTCGTTCTCATTTTATGCAGAACCAGGCATATATATTTTTTTACAAGTAGGCTATTTCATTGTTGATCATAGAGAACAATAACTTGAATCCCATTTTTAGAATTGTAAAAACTGCAAAAGTTCAAAAACGAACCAGAGCAAGTGCGCCAACGTGTGGGTGGACTATATTAATCCATATTACGCACGAATGTACCTACACACACACACACACACACACACACACACACACACACACACACACACACACACACACACACACACACACACACACACACACACACACACACACACACACACACACACACACACACACACACACAAAACAACATTTAATGCCTTGCACAGTAGCATAAGGAAATATAATTATATGTGACAAAATTGGCAGAGTACTATCCAAGTGCAAATATGGTATAAACTGCCTGTTGGCCTACAGTTCTCAATTGTAAATACAGTGGCGATCCCCCCTGTGTGTCAGATCCCTATGGATGATTGATCAACATGTGTTAATTCCTGGATTAAGCATGTTTGACTATTGGATTCAAACTAATTGACAATGAGCTGGGAAATGTGTTGTTTTTGGTAGATTAGGGGGATTAGGATCTGTAGTGACTGACTGTCCTATCCTCATCCCTCAGCGCTGACCTCTGAACTTCACCCCTAACTGGAACTGGTATCCCTCCTGTCCTGTCCTTTGTCCTGGGAAAAGGGACAAGACAAAGATGCACCAAGTCCATAGTCTTCTCCAGGCTGGACCCATTCAGTTTGAAAATATTCAATGATTGCCTGAGAAAATGAACTGTAGCGGTGTTTCAGTCTCATCGGGTCAAGCTCAACCCTGAAACACCTTGTTTATTGATGCTTTGCACAAGTTTTCACTACTTCATTTCTGAGTAGTTGTTTCTCTCGTCACATGTGTTCCAACAAGCTCCTCCATTTCTCATAGAGTAGATACTGTCAAGTACCAGCCCCCAGCTAGGGGGAAGAGAAGCTAGGGTCCATCATTGATGGGTGGTGTTAGCTGTATACAAGCCTGTAGCCTTTACTCAGCAGCCCTGATGTTAGAGACATCTCCATATGAAAACCCCTCATTGATTACAGCTAGTTATTTATATTAAGTGATGATGGTAGGGTGGATGGTTGTGTTGTGACCAAAGCAATGGGCCTGTTTTGTTTGCTGAGATGTCAATAGATTAAACCCCACTGAGATCAGAATATATCTTTGTCTGCTTCCAGGACAATAACATTTTATGAAGAATAATCCCCCTGGATCATCTACTTAGCAATTAAAATACAGTAGGAGCTGAGGGAGCATACCTTCTCCTGACTGACTGGCTGGCTGACTAGCTGGCTGGCTGACTGGCTGACTGGCTGACTGGCTGACTGGCTGACTGGCTGACTGGCTGACTGGCTGGCTGACTGGCTGGCTGGCTGACTGGCTGACTGGCTGACTGGCTTATTGACTGACTGGCTGACTGGCTGGCTGACTGGCTAACTGGCTGACTGGCTGGCTGACTGGCTAACTGGCTGACTGACTGGCTGACTGGCTTATTAACTGGCTGGCTGGCCGGCCGACTGACTGGCCAACTGACAGGCTGGCCGACTGACTGACAGGCTGACTGACTGGCTGACTGGCTGTCTGACTGACTGGCTGACTGGCTGACGCTTTAGGCTCTGAGTGTCTTTGAACTCTACCTCTCTGGCCTTCTTTACTTCTGTCTCTCATTCTGTTCTCTTCCTCTTTCTCTTTCTTTACATCTGTCTTTCTCTAGGTTAACAATGGCAAATAAAAAGATTCACAGCTGATACTGACGGCAAAGCTAATTTATTCATCTGGGGACCAATTCATTCATTTATTTATGTTATTCATTCATTCATTTACATAAACACACCACCTGGATATGTCATAACACACCTAATGATATAACAAACTACATTTTCCGCATTGTTCTCTTCCCCTGAGTGCCACAGTTGGGTCCAGACTGTTGCCAAAACAGCACTCTGTGTTGCTCTAAATTGGCAGGTAAAAGCTGTTAGTATTTAGATGCTTTAGATGAAAGGATAAGGTGGTCTCTCACACAGTGACCTGTGACTATCTTTAATTACCCAAGGAGAGGATTAGAAGGGGAGAAATAGAGGGTTTATCTGATCCCTGCTTTCTGTGTGTGTGCATCCATGCGTGCGTGCGTGTGTGTGTGCGCGTGTGTGTGTGCGTGTGTGTGTTTGTGTTGGCACAGCTTGTGACAGGTAGAGAGTAATGTGTCCAGCACCCCAGAAGCCTCCCCTGAGGGAAGTGATCAGTGCTATCCCCTCCTCTCAGTCCAATTCAGCAGACCACACAGCTCTCTGGATTCTGGAGTCACTCTGAGCTTCATTCACTAGTTGGTATCATTGTCTGCGGAGAAAGTAGTTATCTACTGGGGTTATCTAGAATTAGTGGCAGATCCAATTATTTTGTTGGTTGAAAAGAACAGTAAACAGAAAAAGCCACCAGCCCTTGGTAGTGGGGAGATAACATATCAAGCTTAAATTAACAACCCACTGGTAATCAGGTCCCGAGGTTAACCAGTTACAGGCCCTGGTTATGAAATTCCACAAGCATTTAGAAGTCAATTTTGCCTCTATAAAGTTATCAGTTAGCTCTGTAACCTTTACAATATAAATATCATTTAACTTTCAATACATGGTGCTAAACTCTGGCAGAAAGTTTTGAAGTAATACATTTACATTATGACCCCCCCCCCCCCCCCCCCCACCGCCCCCCTCAAGACAGCTCTTCGCATGAGTGTCCTAAGAGTTGGGGTTCATCTCTAACATGTCTCTGTTTTGATTCTGGCCCCAGAGGGCCACATCTACAGGCCCCTGTCTGTCTGTCTGTCTGTCTGTCTGTCTGTCTGTCAGGACTAAAAAAGGCACAAATCCAATTTCTCAGCCCGTTGGTCCTGTCCTGTACTACACGTGACTGACCTGTCTGTCTGTCTGTCTCTATGATGAACTGACCCATGCCATTGGAAATCATTCTGCCTGTGTGAGCATGGTGAGCATGGAGAGAGGACACACGCAGGGGGCTAAAGTTCAGCTCTGTCGCAGACCAGAACTCCAGGCTCGGGGCTATGTTGTCGTCACACCAAACTCAGACTGACCTGAGTTCACGTCAGCCTTGACATTTGGTGATGCTTGACGTGAACTTAGGTCAATTGTCAACCTTTAAGAACGGTGGTGGATGTCATGTTCATTTATAGTTTGGTGCTCAATATTTCACAGAGGGACAGATATGCCAGACAAAATGTATGTTCTTCAGTAGCGTTTGATGAAGTTTAAAAAAAAAAATTAACTCTAGCCTTGTATTGTGCTGTACACAGGTCCTGTACACCACAGGAGGCTGCTGAGGGGAGGACGGCTCATAATAATGGCTGGAATGGAGTGAATGGAATGGTATCAAACTCATGAAAACCATTGATGTGTTCGATACCATTCCATTTATTCCATTCCAGCCGTTACTATGAGCCGTCCTCCCCAATTAAGGTGCCACCGGCCGCCTATGCTGTACACATAGCATTATTTACCACCATTATTCTCTCCTCTCCTCTCCTCTCCTCTCCTCTCCTCTCCTCTCCTCTTCTCTCCTCTCCTCTCCTCTCCTCTCCTCTCCTCTCCTCTCCTCTCCTCTCCTCTCCTCTCCTCTCCTCTCCTCTCCTCTCCTCTCCTCTCCTCTCCTCTCCTCTCTCTTGTCATCAGTACATTCCAGTGGTCAGGGGGAACTAAAGCCCTGAGATGAAATGGCAGATACATTAACCCTTCACCTGCTGTTAACAGCTACTTGGCTGGACGCAGGGCCCACATTCCACTGCGTGGGCAGAGATGAAGCCTTAACACACGCTAACATAGATACCAGGAGATAACACAATTATGGGGCTTGTTGGACAGAATAGGATTTATGTGTATATCTGTGAAAAATAATTTTTATTGACTATAAGGGACACATTACATGCATTATAATATAATGGTATTAGTGGTATTCATTTGGTTCAAGGTTGGGCGATGTGATGTGCTTTGCCATAACAACATACAGTACGTTTCAATACAATAAAACTTTATCTATGGACATGTGCTTGACAGGGACGCGACTGCTTGCCTGCACATGGTGAATGAGTGCACATGGTGCATGAAAGGGCTTGTGGGGGAAATGGGACCCATTTCCTATAGGTTGGTCCCAGAAAGGAAAGCCACCAAGGTCAGAGCCGGCCAGCCTGAAAGCCAGAGTCAATATTTATGGATAGTGAACATGTGGCACGCTCCTCTACCCACTAATTAAGGCAACAAGTCCACCTCCAGATTATACGGCCACTCAGAGATCACAGGAGGGGATGAAGCGACGCTAACAGCACTTCCAAGTAACAGTAATTCATACGCACACTCATTGCAGAAGCTGAGGATAAAACACTTTGAATGGTCCATTAAACCCCAGTTGCCAGGACCCGGAAGTCTATAACATTTAAGATGAAAGTACACAATAAACCGTTTATCTATAGTGCTCATCTCAAACTTTAACAACAATAATGGTAGATAGTGTAAACACATGCTCCATTTAGTCGAGGGACTGTGATGAGAGACAGACAACCACTTCCA